TACAAAACAAATAAACAGAAAAAGCCCTAGAGAAGGCAAAATAAACAGAATACCACAGGTTCTCATAAGCTGAAATACCATAAAAAACACTGAACTCGAAGCCATCATAAATGAACAAAAGACCTGGTGTGAACCTGTACAGGACCTATGCATGCTGCCTCAGTGTCTGTGTGTTCATATATGTGTTGAGCATGTTGATTTAGAAAGCTTTGTCTTCTCGGTATCCTCCATCTCCTCTGGCTCTCACACTCTTTCTGCCTCCTCTTCTGCAGAGTTCTCTGAGCCTTGATCGGAAAGATTTGGTGGAGACATCCCATATAAGCCTGAGTGTTCCAAGGTTTTTCACACTCTGCATAATGTCAGGCTTTGGTTTTTTGCATTTGTTCCCCTCTGCTGCAGGAGGAGGCTTCTCTGAGGAAGAAGGCACTGATCTTTATGTATAGCAGAATGTCATTAGGAGTCATTTATTGCTGCATTATTTTAGGAAAACAGTAATACCTGTGTTTATCCTATGTCCCGGGTATAGTCTCTGGTTATTTGTCACCCAAGCAGTGTTGGGTACAGTCTCACTCACCAAGTTGGACTTCATTTGGATCAGATTTTGCTTGGTTATTCCCCCGAGCTTTGCACCATTGCCCAAGCATATCTTGCAGATAGAAGAGCATTATAGACCAAAGCTTTTGTGGCTGAGTTGTTTTTTTTCTAGAGTACAGAGTACCGTCTTATAACAAAGATGCTAGCATGGTAGTTTGAAGGCCGTATGTGGCACCAGCTTGACTTCTCCATGCTCACTGAGTTGTGCAGATGGTGTCTTCAGCAGTGAGTCCTTGACATCAGCGTATAGAGAGCAATTACAGTCTTGACAACAGTCAGAATTGTTTTAGGATTCCTATGGAATCTCTCCAGCCAACAACTCAATTAGATGTAACCGCATATCAGTACTGGAAGCTGCATTTTATGACAAGAAATTGAAAGTAGGGACTTGGTTCCCACAAGTTATTTGGCAATTTCATTTAGGTTGTCTTCATACATGCATATATTTCAGGGAGCTTCTGTGTATTAGGTCTCCATAGTACTCCTCAAATGGCTCTTCATTTAGCTGTCTTTCCCATAGTCCCTCACTCATCCCCCTCTTTCCTTCCCATCCCCACTTGATCCTTCTGTTTCACCGCCCCCTTCTCTTTCAAACTATCTACTTATTTTCCCCAGTCCTTAACTCTTGATCCTCGCAATCCACATTCCCCCACCTCATCCAGTATGCTTGTTTTGTGGACTGAGTCGGAAGTGCTGTCTCTTTTCATTTTTTGAAGATTATATTATAATATCAGTATTATTTTGCTTACATAATATTGGCATTACTTAAATATTCAAATATTTAAGTATTTGTCAGACTACATGGTGGAGCCACCTGTGCGTGTCTTTTTCTCTGTGGGAGACTTTATAATTACAGATTAAATTTTGAGTGATTTTTAAGACTATATAATACATTTCTTATGTCAGATTTAATGTTATCATTTCTTGAGAAAATTTTTATTTTATCTATGTGAGTCTCTAATTTACTAGCATAAAACATTGTTAAATGTTTCCTTTTGTGATATAGTTGATGTCTTTTAGGGTCTGAAGTGATATTTCTCTCTTTGTTCCTCTATTGGTAATAGCAATACTAAGAGTAACACTCAAATATGAATTAGATAACGAATGCTTACTGTAGATTGCATTTCAATATACTTTCCCTGACAGCTGGTGTAAATAACATATAAAACAATATTTTGCTCACATGACACTCAGTAGATAATAGGCATAATTTTATTCTACAATTATGTTAAGCATTGAATGGTAGTTGAGATATGATAGCATCGGGATTCCCCTGAGAAACAAAGTATTTAGGATTTGAATTAATCATATTGATGTCTGTATGTATACATATACATGTATATTGTTTCTTACGTAAAGATCCATAATGGATATTTTACTGTATATAAAACAATTGTTTCCTTAAATGTCCCAGCCACAAATTTCCCTCTCTACTGCGTTCTTGCAAGTAAGAATCCCTAGTTGAATATCTCTTCTTTGCAAAGGGATCTCTCAGGCTCTATTTCTGCTTCTACTTGAGCAGTAGGTTCAGCTCCCCTGTGGTTTTGTGCAGTTGTTCATACAAGCCAATCTCATCCTGCTGGAGCAAGGAGGAGGCACCTTTTGACAACCTACGGTCTTCTTCCCACATCCTTGTTCATTTCGCTCCTGAGTGAACTCCCATGTGTTCTTGGATTTTGTTTCCTTATCCACAAAGTTGTGAATTGATGTAATTAATTGAGTCTTTTCAGTCTCCTCCATAGCCAGTGATAATAATTGGATGTTTGACTATCTCTATAGCCTGATACTGCGATCAAAAGGTGTTTAAAACAGAACTCTTCCCCTTTTCAGTTCCCTTTCACGATGTTAGCTTAGGAAAAATTCAAATATGAGTTATTGCCATAAATAATTAGTGAAATGTCTTCCAATCCTAAAATTGTATTGTTTTGGTTTTCCAATATTATTTTATTAGCATTTGTACTTTCTAAAAAACCAGGAGGGCTTTTATTTATCTCTCTGTCATCATTTCCTGCCAGATTGCTCTGTAAATTATATCTTTTCCTCTCAGCTGTTAACTTAAGCAACATAGCTTACTAGTCTTTCTTTCCCCTTTCTATATTCTACAAATAGCATAATAGCAACAACAAAATATAATAGCAACAAAAAATTCAGTAAATATTTGGCATGTAATTGAAAAATTACTTTTTCAGATTTGAGGAAAAACTACCAATGATCTGCGAGTTTCCCCTTAAATGACATAAGACATAAATAAGTGCCCTAAATGCCTCATCTTCTCCCATACCCCTCCCCCAGTCCACTCTTAGGCTAGGTCCTCCTCCCCTTCCATCTGACCCTAGCCTTTCAGGTCTCATCAGGACTGTCTGCATTATCTTCCTCTGTGGCCTGCTAAGGCTGGGCCCCTTCAGGTGGAGGTGATCAAAGAGCTAGCTACTAAGTTCATATAAGAGATGGTCCCTGTTCCCCTTACTAGGGAACACACTTGGACACTGAACTGACTACTGTTGTTGCTAAAACACAAGCTCATTCACATTCAGAAGAGAGAAGGAATGCTTTAGAGTGATGCCCAATTTCTCTTTATTCATTCCCCTTCCAAAATGAATTTTAGTTGCCTTATAGCCTCTGAAGAAACCTAAGGGGAGCAGTTCACTTTGTATAGGAAGGAAAATTGGAATAGCAACGTGGTGATCCACACGTCTTACTGCCTGTTGATTCTGAGTGCTTCATACACAGTTTGAAATTCTTGCTGGAGCTGAAATAGTGCTTCTTCAGGAGTCATTTAGTCTTGTCCTTATTTTCATCCTCAAGTATGTAGCTGTGAAACACCCTTAACCTAACTACAGGATCAACATGCATAGCAACGAAACAAATGTAGTGAATATATTGAGCTTGTCTTTTTATCTTAATTCTTTTCTTTTAATTACATTTATTTTAACAGGTACATAAAATCTGTACATGTAAATGGGGAAGTATGGAATACATGTTTACATTATGCAATGTTCAAATTGGGGTACAGTAGCACATTGAAAATTATCTTCTCTTAAACTATACTTTACTGTCCATTGATTAACCTTTTCATTTTCTTCTTTCCTCGACTTTTTTCATCTCTGAAAATGTCATCCCACACTCAACTTTTTTGAGATGAATATTAATATATTTTGCTTATAAGTGGATTTTTATTTTTATTTTTATTTTGCATATATTTTGCTTATGAGTGGATTATGTAGTATTTGTCTTTTTGGGCATTCTTAATTCATTTTGCATAATGATCTCCAGTTCCATCTTCATTGTTGCACATATAACTGGATTTTGTTCCTTTTTATGACTAAGTAGCATTCGTGATATATATGCACATTTTATTTATGTTATTTTTGTTTTTATGCCTATTGCATTGGAATTGCCTTTGATGTTAAATAATTCTTTTTTAATTTATTTTTATTCATCACAATTTATTCACTTTGTGTGCCAGCTGTAGCCCCTTCCTCATGCCCTCCCAATACCACCCTCTCTCGCTCATCTCCTTCCATGACTCTCCTCCAGTCCACTAATAGATTAGGTCCTCCTTCTCTTCTATCTGACCCTAGCCTATCAGGTCTCATTAGGACTGGCTGCATTGTCTTCCTCTGTGGCCTGATAAGGCTGGACCCCTTGGTGGGGTGGGGGGTGATCAAAGAGCCAGCCACTGAGTCCATGTCAGATACAGCCCCTGTTCACCTGACTAGGGAACACACTTGGACACTGAGCTGCCATGGGCTACATCTGAGCAGGGGTTCTAGATTATATCCATGAATGGTCTTTGGTTGGAGTATCAGTCTCAGAAAAGACCCCTGTGCCCAGATATTTTGGTTCTGTTGCTCTCCTTGTGGAGCTCATGTCCCCTACAGGTCTTTCTGTCTCCCCCTTCCTTCATAAGAGTTCCTGCACTCTGCCCAAAGTTTGGCTATGAGTCTCAGCATCTGCTTCGATACTCTGCAGGGTAGAGTCTTTCAGAAGCCCTCTGTGGTAGGCTCCTGTCCTGTTCCTTGGTTTCCCACTCTTCTGATGTCCATCCCCTTTGCCTTTCTGAATCAGGATTGATCATCTTACCCAGGGTCCTCCTTCTTGCTTAGCTTCTTTGGGTATACAGTTTTTTATGTTTATCCTAGTAAAAGAATATCATATACTACTTTTTCTTACTCATAAATTAAGGAAGTTTTAGAAAAATGAATGAAAAGCCTTGTCTGATAAAGGAATATTTCTGGTTGGTAGATATATACATTCTTATACATATAATGCTAAGCAAGTACTTTACACTTAGTATATTTAATTTTGGTAAAACAATGATAAAATGTGCCCACACTTCCATTGGTCAGAGACTTGAAGAAAGACGAGTATAACCTACTATCTCTATCTCTTCGATTTACTCACAGGAAACAGATCCAGGCTATGTTGGGCCAATTCAGCCAGGCAGAGGCTTTGCTAATGAAAGCTGGAGTGCAGCCAGGGACTATTGATGGAGTTCTTTTGGACCTGGGGTGTTCCTCCATGCAACTTGATGCTCCTGAGCGAGGTTTCTCCCTTCGGAAGGATGGCCCCTTGGACATGAGGATGGATGGAGACAGGTGAGTACTGAAAAAGTTGATTTTCTTCTTACCACAAGAAAATCAATTTCTTAATAACATTCTGAATTTAATTTCCTTGAAGACTGGAAAGTTCCTAATATACTCCCACATCCAGCACTGCCCATACATAGCAAATCAGCTCTGTTTGGTACTCATTATAGACTTCAGCATTCCTTTAGCTTTAGAATGCTAAAAGGGAAATCTTTTACAGAAAATAGGGAGGAAGTATTCAGAATGGGTGATTTTTTTCTTTTTTTTTTTTTTTTTTACTGATAACACGTGGCTTTTCAGTAGTAACGTGAAAAAGTAGATACAGATGCTGGTACAAGAGCTTCATTTTTGTGCATGCACAGCCATGTCTGTATGAGAACAGAAGCTGTATTTAACTGATACTATTTCATAATGCTGCAGAAAACTCTGGTAGGCTCTCAGTGATGGACAATTATACTTCTATCCCACCTCTTCAGTAGTCATCCTAGTTGAACCTTCTTCAGAAGCTCTGCAATGTATGGCACCACATCATTACATATTCATACCCCTGTATACAGAAATTTCCCCTATGACACCGCTTCAGTCTTCAGTACCATAGAAATATTAATATGTATTTGCCATTCAATTCAAATAGACACACAATCCATTTAATGGCACTGTGTTGCGCTGTAGGAGAAAATAGGAAAATTTCTGTTTTATGCATTAATTCAAAAAGCTTAACTTGATTCTTACACCTTAGCCTACCAGTGATACCAAGCTAGAAGCTTCACTTGCTTTTATTGTGTACATTGTATCAAGCTACAATTTTTCCTGAGGTAAATACAAGTCATATATACTCTCTTCCCTTGTTAGATGATTTGACTGGTTATCTTACATTGTGATATTTACTAGAATCCTATCATTTCGGAATCCTATGCCTTCTTATTTTTGCATCCTTGGCATTTATAGAACAAAGAATATCATCATAAAATAAAATAATAAAAATTTTAACAACCAGTGACTAATAGTAAAGGTCAGATATTCTCAACTTTAGAGATTTAAGGTGGTTTTATAGAAATAAAATATTAAATATATTTATACTCTTTCTGTGTTTTGCTATGGAAGAAGTTTTCTATCATACAGTGAACAAAGCTTCTAATTCATATTAGTGAATTGCCATGTTCTTAATGTAAAAGCTTCTTGGGCAAATTTTAATTTGTAAATCTCCATCCATCGTGTCTCTTCAAGAACTTCAAAATAAGATTGTTCCTGAGAATTAAGCCCTTAAATCAATAAATTATTTCAAAATTATATTTATGTTGAAGATTTTCCAGGTAGATGATATGGACTATCATCTATATGAAGTATTCAGAATTGAGAAATAAATTCACTTGAATATATAGGGAAATAAAACTCAGACATGCAAAGATATACAATGCAGAAACAAATAGAAAGTAGGCCAAGGCAAAAAAAAATGCATATCTATATGTACACCACACAAAGACACATGTGGTCTTTCAGACCCCAGAGAGTGATGTATCTCTGTGATAAAGATACATACAAGAGTCATTTGGCACTGGAATCTTAATTCTATGCTAACTCCAGTTTCAGAGACCACTGCTTTTAGATTATAGTTTGTTCTCATGTAGTAGTGAGGCATTCCAAGCCTCAAGAACTTGAAAGGCTAATTCTGTTTCTGTTAACAGTCTTTGTTGGGAGATAATAAATTGGCACTCAAGTTAAAACTTTAGCATGTGAGTTTAGTCAAGTAAGTCAGTGAAATCTTTGGACTGACAAGGGGAAACATTGTCTTTTATTAGAGAAGTTTATATTAATATCTGTCTAAATCAGATTTCTGGTCTGCTAAACCCCCCCCCCCCAGAATAATGTTTCTTTTGTCCTCTAGCCTTGTGGAAACATCTACACAACTATTTTGTATTAATGTAAAAGTAAAATAAAATTATACCTGGTGTCCATTGAATACCATTTGATCAAAATGCTATTTTAATTTTATTATTTAAAAATAGAAAGTTATCATGAAAAATCCATTCGTACTGTCTTTTAATTGTCTTAATAGTGCTAAGGGTCTAAATTTGCCATCATTAACCAGTGTTATCCCCATGGTGACTGGCTTGAGTAACTGAATTCAAAGGTAGGTAAGCTCTGTCAGGGATTTTTGTCTTTTCTGATCAAAATTCTGACTGGCAGCTATATGAATGGGAAGGGTCTGAAGGACAAGAACGTTTATTTTCCAGTCATTATATCATCTGTATTTACTGTTTCATGTAGGCCTTCTCTACCAAGAATTCTGATAGAGGTAAGCATTATTATTTTCATTTCCCAGATTAAAATCGAGAGTCTAATGCATTTAAACTTTCTCCAATGTAACAAGGCTGTAATTCTTATATAAATCAATGCAATCTTTTAAAAAGGGACTTTATTTTGTAAGCACTAAAAGCAACCCACTGAGAGGAAAGTTAGGGCTACCATCTAAGACATTCATTGGTGCAGGAATAACAATAATGAAAACAAAAAGAGGATGTCTCTTTAAAGGGAGGGGAGAGAATGGAGGGAGAAAACGTGGGATGGTGTAATTATAGTCTGTTTTAATTCAACATATACATGAATAAAATAAGTTAAAACAAAAAGAAACACATCATATGTAGAATAGGATTTTTTCCTACTCTCTAAAACAGAGATGGGGGTGGGAGGAGGAGACAGAAAGAGGGAGAGAGAGAATTTCAGAGACAGACTTGAAAGGCAAACAGACAAGCAAAATGGGAGTACATACCAAGGACGAAAAAAATTTCTGCTAAATGCACAAGCATGTTAACATGGTAATAATTTTCAAAGAGCGTTTTTGCAGCCTCACTCTGGCTTAAACGTCAGGTCTTACTGCTCCTGTATCTTTGGAATTCATAGCTATTCACAGTATGAAACTAATAACCCAACATATTTATGTGGGTGTAGTAAGTGTACTACTGGCAGATGTTCCTAATAAACCGAGTCATGGCTAGCTCATCAGTTAGAATGCTTTGACCCACTTCTCTAAATGGAAATAAACTAGAGTGATCTGACAGTAAGTGCTATTTTCTACTAGTACAACTTAGTCTATGTGGTCAGAACTTGGACTTTCTTTTTGCCCCTCACTTGACTTGTTCAATCAATACAGTTTATTTTGAGGATTTAATCCATCATTGCCTTTACCACTATTGACTGCACTAATGTCAAATACCAAAGAATGCACGGTTAACATTAGGTCTTTTTAGCTAGTGTGTGCGGAAAATGCCTAGGATCTTCCTATGTAGATTTTCTTTGTTGGATGTTTTTAGTTCCACTTGTAGGTTCTTTGGAGGCACAGATTAATTTTCTCCACAGCAGTTAGGCTTGGTCAGCTATCATCTGTCAACACTGCATCATCACCCATTCTAAAGAAAAGAATAGGAGTAATATAATCAGTTACTTGAATTTTAAGCATGTTAAATCTGTTAAACTTTCTTCTATTGTTTTATTTTCAGAGAACCTACAGGATCAATATTAACTTCCATGGATGAAAGTTAAAGGTTAACAAAATAACTTTAACTTGCCATTACCTTGATTTCAGGGAATGTTCCAGGTTCATCTTGCCATAATGATTACAGTGTAAAACAGAAACTCCCTTTTGTGTGTGATATTTCAGTCAGTTTTAGAATTTCATCTAGGCAGTGTGTTGTGAATGCCAGAAATCTCTCAATGAAAATGGTGTCCATAAATTGATTGGCTCTTTTTGCGTGCAGGTACCCTGACATGCCCACTGCTGCTGATGTTGTGAATGCTTTAGATCAACAAGCACTTGCATCCATCCTAAGAGCATATGGAGAGGAGAAGCACGCCAAGAAAATTGCTTCTGCAATCATTCAAGCACGCAGCATATACCCTATCTCTAGAACCCAGCAGCTTGCCAGCATTGTTGCAGGTACCCTCGTTAATTCTCGTGAATATCTAAGAGTAAAAAAATTAAACTAGTATGTGTTCCATATAGATTGGGGTGTGTGTGTGTGTGTGTGTGTGTGTGTGTGTGTGTATCCCTTCATGCCTGGCTCCCAGAGGGATTCATTTGTATGTGAAATCATTCAGAACAAAGTCGTTCATATCCTTCTCAAATGTCAGGGTTTGGAGTTTGTTTTTTTTTTTTTCAAGCTTTCTTACAACAACAAGTCTAACAACACACACATTTTAAAAATTTATTTGCCGTAAGTGGTTGATTAATAGAATAGAAATTTCATACATGGTAATTTATCATTTGTGCCGACCAAGGTGAAACATGGAGTGGCGATTTAATGATATCTTGGTCTGACACAAGTGGTTAATAAGCATCCTGTGTGAAGTTTGACATTACCTCTGATAGGTTAATATTTCTACATTTTCATATTTCAAGAAAAAGGTGAGTTGCATTGCCCGACTGTTAAAATAAAACTCAGTGAGTCATACATTTATTCTAAATAATCATCTAACAAAGGGTATGTGATGTATAGGTTATTCTGCTTTGTGGATTCTAACTAAATCAGCCTAAGGGACTTATTGAAACATTTCATCTTTTCTGCTGTTTACCACCATAAACCTCTTGAACCAAGATCTAGCTAGGAGGCGCTTTATTATGCTCTTTCCATTTCGAGCCAAAGCTGTTTTACAGCTATGTTTTGATGAAAGTTTCTCAAAGTAAAAATGCAACTCCTGCAGTTATTTAACAGAATTACAGTGGTAAATTATTCATCTTGTTGGACCAACAGAAACACTGAATCATTTTTATATACCAAAAATATATTAAGATCGTTTTCATTGTTTTTATTAAATTGCATAAGCAATAAATAAGAGCGATATTTGTGAAGTATTTTGAAAGCATCCAATACTTGCTAAGGCTATCATAATACTAGAGAGAGTTTGAGAAATAAAACTTAATTATGAATTCACTCAAATCATTAAGCTTTCTTGTAACAATGTTTTATGGCATAATTAAATAATATATTTAACATAACAAAATATAACAAATTGACTAAGTCTTTAATTATTTAAGCTTCATTTGTCAGGTCCTATTCAATGTAATATCTTTTAGTTTAGTTGGAGCAGAATTCCTGTCGGTTTTCTAAACATACAGTATTTTATAATTTCCTCCACACCGAAAGTGTTTATGCTAACATGTTTGCAGGTGGTAGATTCACCTTCTTCATACATACTCTGTCCTTCTCATTCTTTACTCACCAGGCAACGCTACTTGTCCTTGCTGTCTTTAAGTAGCACTGCATGCCGTTTTCTGTGAGAAATCATATTATTGATTCATAAGAAAACACATTTTGTCTCATACTGATATGAGGGCTTGCACCTAACGAGCACTCTAGGGATTTTTCTGTTAAAAGCCTTTATCCAGTAACTTGTGAAAACAGTTTTAAAGAGGACCAGTGGTTTGCTCAAGGCGGCAGTCTAATTAAGGACAGTTAGTATCAATTAAAATTTAGGAGACCATGAATTTGAAACATAACTGGGACTATACCTTTAAAAAATTAAGTTGGCTGTTCTGTTTCTGGATCTTAATCTATGAACTTGGGGAAATACCAGTCTTGTATTAGATAGAATTGTTGTGAACATATACCACAGAAACAATGTAAGTATTTCTCAGAGTGTTATGATGTTATGATGTTAAGAATGTATTAGCGCTATATCAACAATGAAGGAAAAGTGAGAATATTGACATATGGGCGAGGAAGAAAATTGTGAATGGCACTAAAACATTGAGTTCTCAGAGTCTGCTTTTATGCCTTCAATATCAGTCAATAGAAATACAACTTTATCGATGACAATAGGATATTTTGAAATAGGGGAAGACATGGTATTTCAGAAAATTTCAGAAAACTATGACCTACTAGAATTGAACTGAAAAAATAGAAAGCTTCGTATATCTATAGCAAGCAATGGGGTGGGAGATTTCCAACTAAAACAGCTATGTATTTAGTATATGTATTCTTTGCTAAATTTTATAAAACCTTTGAAAAATTAACTAACTCTCCACCAAGCTCATTTTATGAAACCATTATTACCCAGACACCAAAGCTGGAGGACTTAGCCAAAAAAAAAAAAGAAGAAGAAAAAGGAAAACGAAAAATAAGAAAAGAAAGAAAGAAAGAAAGAAAGAAAGAAAGAAAGAAAGAAAGAAA